TAGATGTTACCTTCAGCATCCTGACTCTAGAGTTTCATAGGCGAACCCATCCATCCACTCTTCAGGGGATATAAGCAACTGACTGCTTATATTTCTCGATTTTTCTTTTTTATGCACTTATCATTGGTGTAATTTTTTTTCGTATTGCTTGTGTTTGTGCGTGCATTTGCAGCCACGTGCCCGTCTGTGCATTCATGTGTGTGCGGTCAACTGCACGGATGTGTAGGTAGTTGTGATTATTTGTCCTTTTTTTGTTCCCCACCCACTTTACACTCGCCCCTTAGCCTTTTCTCTTTTTTCCCTTCTTTTCTTTCAAATGTAGCCATTTGTAGCCAATTATTTCAAGTATGTTCCCTAGACATGCCACCATTTTTAATTTTTGAGCATTCTAATTCTTTTGGGCTAGAAAAGTTGTATTTCATTTTTTACATAAATAATTGATATTAATGCATAAATGATAAATTTCATTTTCTTATTTGGTTTGGTTGTATCTTATGCATTAATTGTAGGAGGTTAGGTCTATAATTGAATTTTTATTATTGCTTGAATTTATGTGTATATGCCTGTATTTACATGCACATATATACACATATAAACATGCATACACAAACACAGATACACTTGTGTCTGTGCTTTGTTATTAATAACTTATTTTTAAGTTTATATTATATTTGTTTATTTTTAATTAGTGCTTAGGTAGAAAAGTAAATATTTATTTATATGCCTACATTTACCCATTATTTCAGTTTTCTTGTTTAAGAGTTTATTTTGATTTTTAAAACTAATTATAGCTAATTTTTCTTCTAAGCATAGCTTACACATTTTACTGTATGGGGCTGCTTTTTTTTATAAATTTCCCATTTGATTTTGGTGAGGGATATTGTTTTCTTTTTGGCTCTATATGTATTTTGATAGGGTTGTACTATTTGTGCATTTTTTTCTTTCAAAGGACATTTTGTGGTTATAATATCATTCTTTTAAGGTTTTTTTCTGTGATGCTTATGTACATATTTTCATCTGTGTTAATGTTAATTAAATTTTCAATTGTAAAAACTACAAAAATAGAGGAGTGAAATTTTACAGTCTGCACTCAGAGGAAAAACAATATTTTCCAACTCTCACCAATAGTTAACTAAAAAAGAAAGAATCTGAAATGATGAGTGGATGTGCAAAGATATATATATATATATATATATATATATATATATATATATCTATTATACTTATTTTAAAAAAATATGATTCCTTCACTACATAAGTGTTCTTATGTTTCAAAAACAAGAGCCAAAAACTTCAATTTAATTTCAATAATTATATTGAGGTTTTTAGCTCTTGTTTTTGAAACATGAGAACTCTTATGTAACAAAGAATCATATTTCTTAAAAAATAATTATAATTTAAGCTATACTTCTGTATGGAGCACTGTTTTTAAAATAAAAACAAAATACTAAAGAACTCCGGATTATTTACCTAACATGTTCTTTCCTATTTTTCTATATATTTGCACACAAACATTATATATATATATATATATATATATATATATATATATATATATATATATATATATATAGTGGACTCTCTTGTCATGGATAACAAATGAGGGCTCAGTAAAATAAAGAAGTGCTCAAGTTTTAAGGACACACATGTGACTCCTGTAGGTGTTTTGCAAAGTTTTAGATAGATGTAACGTGGTTGAGGATCAATTGCCATGTTTCCACAAGTGAACAGCAAGGCCTGCTTTACTGCGTGCAACAAAGCCACAGTGGCAGGTAAGGCTACCATTGAGAGGAGCAACATGCTGTCAACTTACTTTAATATTTGTACACAGAAGATCCTGATGTTCAGCCTCACTCAAACCTTTGTATAGATGAGAAGCAGGATAGGCGCCAGCTCCTTCCCTCTGACGCTTTGTTTTCTCAGGAAGAAAGGGATATATATATATATATATATATATATATTATCACTTTAAAGATTATTTTTACTGGATACTTATATGGTCCATTTATTTATTATACTGACTGAGATATCAAATTTCTTGGACATTCAGGTTGGTCGATAAAAATAAAATAAATATATGATTTCATAAATAAACAGAGAATCTACGCAAATACAAGCATGCACTAATCTGTCGGATTAATAAAACTCCATTTAATTTCTTTAGTAAAATTATATATCATATATATATATATATATATATATATATATATATATATATATATATATGCAGGTTGAGATGAGTAAATTGTCACCATTTTGTATTTAGAATTTCTTGCATGAGCGTTGTTTGTTTTTGATTTTGTCAACTGCACAGTATAGTAGGGTCAGTTCAACACTGTGAGAAAAAGAGCACACAGTCAAGAGGGTGACTGCTGGTGGACCCTATGTCTGGCACCAGGACTCTGCACCTTGCCACACACAAGCAGGAGAATCCAATCATGGCTGTCAGACAATTTCTGCAACCACATCACCCCTTACATCTGGCCACCTAAATTCCCAGACTGCATCCCCCTTGATTATGTGTGGGGTGCAGTTGAGTAAGAGACCAACAAAACTCCTTGTAACCCCAAAGATGAAATGAAGGCAAGGATTTTGGTAGCATTCACCAACTTAAGGAGGCTATCCAGAAAAGATGCAGGAAATTTTAAAGTCATCTGGAGGCCATAGTTGAAGACAATAGCGATTTTATTGAATAAATTTACTCTTTATTATTTCACAATATTTTTGTGTAATTTTGGTAACTATATCTGTTAAAATGAGAAGTATGCATTATTTTCATATTTGCGTAATTTAGACAACAATTTATTCATTGCATCCTCTGTGTGTATGTATGTATGTATATATATATATATATATATATATACACACACACACATACACACGCATTCAAACATTATTATATCGGACACTTATTTAAAATAGATGCCTCATTTTTATTTATTTATAAACAGTGTGTAATACAGCTGTCTATCTGTGAATGCATTCCAGAAATCTAAGTAAAGAAAACATTTTTTTTTTTTTTTACTTAGGTTTCTCAAATATTGCCATGCCACCAAACAGGTCTATAGATTTATTAAACACTGTTTAATGAATAAATAAAAACAGGGCTTCTATTTCAAATAAGAAGCATCCACTATAATAGTGTTTGTGTATGTATATATATATATATATATATATATATATATATATATTGTGTATTTAGGCAGCATTTTTTCATTGATGCATGTTTCGTTAAATAATATAGACAAGTTTTGTCTATTTATTTTATGTAAATTCTTTTGATATCATCTGATAAGCTTAATAACATTATCATTAAACAAAGAAGGAAAACCATAATATTGATACATATTTTTTAATCCTATCTAAGCTTTCTGCTTACACAAGCCATTATCAAAGATGACAATTACATTACAATATATTAAGCAAAACACGGACAAAACAATAATGATAGTCTGTTTCTGTTTACTTGGAAGATTTCCAAGCAACAACAAACTTGTACAAAAAAGACACTGGAATTAGAGTTATCATTCAAATGTAGTGTCAAGCTTGAAACAACATTTGAATGATACATCTTTAGGCATATAAAACATGCCTGGCTGCATACACAATTCTGGAAAATCCTTGTTGAAAACACAACACAACTTAAACATGAAAACAATAAACAAAAACTAAAAATTTATGAAGCTATATACATAAAACAGTTGAAACCTAACCTGAACAAAATAAACTATGAAATCTCCACAAATATTCTTAAATGCTTATAATTGGTTACAGAATACTTAATACTTCTTGTTTTCATTCTTGTGTGTTCATGTGTGACGTCATGAGCTGCGGTGTGATTTTTGCTTCCAGCATCTTGTATGCATGAATTTGTTGTTGCTTGGAAATCTTCCATGTAAACAGAAACAGACTATCATTATTGCTTTGTCCGTGTTTTGCTTAATATATTGTAATGTAATTGTCATCTTTGATAATGGCTTATGTAAGCCGAAAGCTTAGTTTAATGATAATGTTATTAAGCTTATCAGACGATATGAAAAGAATTTACATAAAATAGATAACACTTGTCTATATTATTTAATGAAACATGCATATATATATATATATATATATATATAAAGTGGACACTTCATGCCTAATGCAATCTTCAGGCATAAATGTTGGCCTGAAGATTGCATTTAACAGACTGCCACAAATGAAGAGACTTGAGACAACATAAATATGGTCCTACAGAAGGATAATGAGAATACCATGGACTGAACATGTGAGAAATGACAGTTTTAGAGGAAATGGAAACAGAAACAACACTTATACTTAACATCAGGAAGAGACAGTTGAAATTTCTAGTGTACATCATGAGGAAAGAGTGCTTGGAAAATTTGATACTCACAGGATAGATTGAAGGCAAGTGGTACAAAGGAAAAGAATGTATAACCTACCAAGCTAGCTTGAGTAAAAGGATGACAGAACAAAATTTAGGAGAGATAACAAAAAGACAAAATTTATTAAAAACTACAAATGATAAGAAATTATAGAGAGCTATGATAAGCAATATCTTGAAGAAACATTGTACATAGAATTCACTGAATAAAATTTATAGTATTCAGGTGATTGACACATATCATTTGTGAATAAAAATGAACTTCATTTGTGTTGAAAATTTAAGATGTGAAGAAAAACAATTAAGAAGGAGGAGCATTTGTATTTTCTTCTTTATCAATTTCCAAATGTCAAAAGGTTGATCAAGCTAGATTCTTGTCAAGGCTTGAAAGAACAATTGATTCTTGCGGATTGAATAAAGGGTTTGGTTCAAAACACATGGAAGGTTATAAACCACAATAGAAAGGTGAAAAAGGTCAGAAGGTAGAATGGTGGAAAGATTGTTATGATAATACCAAGATGAAGGCAAAAGTCTAAATAAGTGGCATCTAATGAAGATGCTTACTTTTGTGACAATCATTTGTAGGAACATTTCTTGAGGAGGAGAAAATAATACTTACTTGGGTCGAGTAGATATTGCAGGCAGCCCATCTCACCGAAGCACCGAGTGCCACCAATGTCTCAATGAGCACCTGCAAATAAAAAGACACACATATGAAAAAAAATGCTGACATATCTATATTTTCTGTGTCTCTCTGGAGAAAGAGAGAGAGATTTTTTTCTTTTTCTCCTTCTGTTTGTACAAGTAAGGCAATCAAAAAAGTGGATTGCATAATTACTCTCACACCAACACTTTTCCATCAACCATTGTGACATGCCAGAGACAAGACATTCTGTCTAGATATCTGGTGGTGAAACAGAATGTAGGGAGAAGTGATCTCATGCCTTTCCTCAATCAACTCAGATGAAATGTGAACTTGGTTAACTGATTCTGCTACCCATGTTGTTAACCATTAGGCCACTCAACATCTCCTAATCAATAAAGTAATGGTTAATCTTTAGCACTCTGCATTATTAATATTAATTCCCTTTCCAGTGCATTTTTTCAAGGCCTCTTAATTGTAGTGTCAATTGTTAATTTCACTCAAAGCTGTTTTCTGTTGCCATAGCAGGATATGACAACACAACTATGAAATGCAAACAAATTCAAATTCATCAGAGTCACCTTCAGTTGCAGGATAATCTTTTTGTACAGCAAATGAAATTCACATACTGTGTGATAAAGGTTAATGTGCTAGTCTGGTTGACCATTTGTTATAGTGAAACACACCAATTCTATAGTTAATAGACTCTCCCGCCTATAATAAGTAGAAGTATTAAGAGTAATCAGTCGCTCAGGGAGTTGGTCAGCCAGTCGATGTCGGACGACCGTTAGTCGGATACTAAAGTATCAGCAACCACCACCACTAGATTTCTCTGTGTCATTACCTATTATATCAAGTTCCTAATGTTTTGTACGTCAAACCTATTTTAGGACCGACTTAGTACAAATACAAGCCTCCACTGTGAAACCACTCTACAACACCATTACTATTGATTAGAAGATCAAACTTATGCTTACATCTAGCCATTTTTTTTATGAATAAAATTTATTGTATTCAGGTGATTGACACGTATCATTTGTGAATAAAAATGAACTTCATTTGTGCTGAAAATTTAAGACTTGAAGAAAAACAATTAAGAAGGAGGAGCACTTGTATTTTCTTCTTTATCAATTTCCAAATGTCAAAAGGTTGATCAAGCCAAATTCTTGTCATGGCTTGAAAGAACAATTGATTCTTGATCAATATTAGGTGCCCAATAGTTGTAGCCTTGAGCCAAACTAAGCTTAGTAAGTAACAACATACTTATATGAGGGCATGCTGAAAAATTATCAACCAGACCCTTTCCTCAAAATCTGACAAAATGACTAAACATCAAATTCTTTTGGAGAGGAAGGGCTTTAGTGAGACCAAGAACTTTTCAACACTCACTTCATAGATATATATGTTTATCCCTTCATAGATATTAAGAAAACTTACATGAATATGCAAGATGCTTTGAAAGTAATGCCTCCAATTTATTTCCATGGAATCTACACCAGATACAGGGAGAAAAACAACACCATTGAATTGTGCATGTTTTCAATTATTATTGCTATCTCTTTGTTTTTCATAGCAGCAAATGACATTGTTAGAAAAATGTTATCTACATAGTCATTCTGTCATCCATTCAAACAGGACTTGTTATGCAAAATATAATTTGTATATGAAGAATATCTGCCAACAATAATTTATATTTTATTTTTGTCATTTCAATTTCTTTTGGCTGGTGGCTAATTTCTTGGATTAGTTTTTAATTATTGAGGAATTCATTGTCAATATTTTATCCACCCCCTCCTCAAAAATTATACTTGAACTAATTCCACTCTACTATCATTTCTTAAGTCTTTCAGATGAAGATGACAAGATTGAAATGAAAGAAAAATATAAGCCATTGTGCAAATCTAAGAACCAATTCTGTATAATGCAGCAATTATGCAAAGTTATTCATAATTAGCAGAAAAACAAGAAACCTTTAAAAAGAAAATCAAGCAGACTTGATGCAATTAGGCAAAATTGGAGTGGGCAGCTTCTGAACAATTTTAATTACTTAAGAGCTGCTGGAAAAACATGCAAAAATAGACTTATGCATAAAAGACTTGGTTTGACTGAACATAAAACATTAATGCCTTTGATGAGAAGAAGAATCAATAGAAAGTTAATTCTTTGGTAAACAGAGAAGGTTTTATTTCTTGTCATGAAGGTAAATAAAATCATAATTATATATCATCTTCTGCTCCTGCTATATATTTAGAGATCCTTGATAAAATCCAAAAAAGAATCTGCAATGTCACTAGTCCTGACCTGGCAACTTAGCTTCAGTCACTTTCCCACTGTTGTATTGGAGCTTCCTTGTGCCATTTCCATAAATATTTTCATAGTAATTCTTCTGATGAGCTTTCCTCTTTGGTACCAAGACTTTATAGATTTAAGCACAGTACTAGATTGGGGCAAGATCTCATCATTTTACAGTCAAAATGGCTAGATGTAAGCATAAGTTCTATGCTAACAGTTTCTTTTCTTGCACTTCTTGCTTGTGGAACTCTTGTCTGGCTTCTTGTTTTCCAGTCAAGTTTGATCTTCAAATTTAAATGCAATGTCAATCGTTTTCTTCTATCTTCTTAATTTTGTTCTTTTATTGTTCTTGCTCTTTAATAAATGATTTTCTTTTCCTTATATTCTTTTACACTCAGTAACCTCCTGAGTCTTAGTGGCTTTATTGCTTTGCTATGGAAAAATGATTAAAAAATTTTTTTTAGGAATTCACTGAAAATGAAAAACAAAGAAAAATATGAAATGATTTTTTTTTTAAACTCGATGTAGTAGACACCAGTTTAAACATATACCCCCTCCAAAATTGTCAAATCCTAAAAAGGTCAATTTCATTAGAAGAGCAACTTTAATAACCACAAGTTATAACCAAACACTTTGGTATTGTATATATAGGCCAGTAGGAAATAAAAACATATGAGAAGGTCACCAACAGAGAAATAAACAATTGTTTTTGGAAACTGCCTAATTTGTGATCAGGTCAGCTCATATGCTTCTAGCATTTGGCAGAATTGTAATGGCAAAGAATCTAAACAAAAACAAAAAAAACAAAAAACTTTGCATTTATACAAAATTGGCTAAAATTTGTTTTCAGTTTTGAAATAAACAAAGAGACTGATGATTATCATAATATATGTAACATGATTTTTAAGTTCACATGTGTCACTGACAAAGAAATGGCTTTCTCATATTTGAACTGAAGTCAGTCTAGGCTCTATTATTCAAGTCTGTTTCAAAGTAACCCTCGTTATTGGACTTCTGTCTAATTCTTTTGTCTACTGTCAATTGTAAACCCAAGCAAAATATAAATAGGGTGAAAGGAGTTTTAGTAGTTGGTCAAATTAAGTATTAAAATAATTTCCTCTTGCATTGAGAAGAATATTAAACAAAAAGATAATATTCTGAAACATCTCCTTATGAAAACAGATACACATTACTCCATCAACTGTCATCATCACCAGTGTTCATGGTGTTTTCAGGGAATTCTCTGGTAAATGGTCAAACAGCACCTCCTTCTACATTATACAACATGAAAATATCAGATTGACAGAAATGCATTTGATATAAAAGGAGAAGCAATTTAAAATGGAATGCAGATAATTCACAAATAACTATTTCAACCTTGTGTCCTTATGCCAGACTAAGCATAGGGAAATCAACATTTGGTGATTGCGCTAGTTTCATATTTCCATAAGTTAGTTCTCAGCCATAGAACAATTTCCCTATTTGTATTTGACCTTGTGCCAAAGCTTAGAAAATATGAACAAATTGGAATGATCTAACATTAAGTGATGATGGAAACCATATTTGTTGAAATATAAAGTTTATATATTGTCTGCGCTAAACACATTTGTCAATTTAATGTTGGGTGTAATTTTGAGACAAAACTCCTTAAATGCCCACCCCTCTGCAATTTCCTTGATGTCTGTTGACATAATCAGCTTTTCTGGATTCCTGACAATAATGAAAATATTTGCAGTCAAGATTATCTAGAAGATAAAATTGCAACAGTTATCCTTGGAGATTATCTCCAGTAATTCATGTTAATCTTGCAAACAGACAAAGGCAGATTATTTGATGAAGGTTCCTTTTTTCATTTCTTCTCATCTGCCCCATAACAAACACTTAAGACAAAATGAATGTTAGAAAAACTTCCAATCAAATGTTTTCCGAACATTCAATGAAATTTTTAATTCATTTTATCTGTTTTTTTTTTGTTTTTTTTGCTTTAGGAAAGTGAAAAATTCATGAGGTTAGAATAAACGGACAAGGATTCATTATCTTTATTTACAGAATGTATTTTCTTTTTCAGAAATGTTTTATTAAACATGATTGGTGAGAATTTCCAAATCATAACAGTTTTTTCATATTTTCAGATTCCTCTCTAACAGCTAAAACTGCACTTAGAGTACTTCTCTTCCAGTTGAAGTAATTTAGCAAATTCAACTGACATCAACAGTTGACTTTTTGTATGGATTTTGCTTGTGAAGTGAGGTTCCTGCATAAAATGTTACAACGGTAACACAATGAAGCTGGAGGTAAGACTTTTTTTTTTGGTGTGTGTGTTTGATACATTCTAAACCATGGTTAAGGGATGGTGCAATAATGTGGAAAACTGGGTCAACAAAATTCAAATTCCAACTAAAACTGTCTTGAAAAAGGCATAAATCCACTTCTCCCTGGCATGCAGTGATAGTTGACAGAAAAGAGTGCAGTCAAGTCAGCATTACTTCCATGTTGCTGGTATTTTGTAATCAAGTACTACTTTTCTCTTGTTACTCAGCGAGGAGATGGGCACTGTCAAATAACACACCTCACTCCTTCATCCAGAAAAGTCAAGGAGGAGATGACAATATGGTACCATATTTCAGATCAGAGAATTTTCACAAATGGAATTCATATCAAAAAGTATCACATTAAAGACAAAATAGAAATAAAGCATTAAAGGGTAGAAAATGTAGCTCAGTGCTGTATCAGTTGAAGGCATGAACCCATATATA